GGGGGAGGGGTAGAGGGAGAGGGAGAAGCTGACTCCCTGCTGAGCAGAGGGCCCGATGCAGGATTCGATCCCAGGACCCTGGGATCATACCCTGAGCAGAAGGCGCACACTTAACCGACTGAGCCACCCAGGCGCCAGGCTCTGTGTTGTTCTACTGGTCTGCTCATCTAGCTCTATTACAACAATACACTGTAGTAAGTACTGCTACTTTAAAACAAGTAATAACACTGGCTAAGACGAGTCCTCTTGACTTTGTTCTTTTTCAATATTATTTTTGCTGTTCACAAGCTTTTGCTTCTCCATATGAATTTTTAAGTTTCACCAAAAAACTCTGGAATTATACTGAATGTATTGATTTGGGCAGAACTAATAGCTTTACAATATTGAATCTTCCCATCCTTCATGAGCATGATATACCCCTCTACTTATTTAGGCTTACAGTGTTTCAAGAAAATTTAAAAATTTCCTCCATAAAGGTTTTGTATGTTTTTTGATTTATTCACAAGTAACCTTATAGTTGATCTTAATGTTGTAAACACTATTTTTTTCCAACTACATTTTACAATTTCTGCTGATCTATGAGAATGCAGTTTTGTATACTCGTCTTATTATCTAGCAATCTTTCTGTATTATTTCATTGGTGCTATAGATTCTTGCATTTCTTATATAGACATTTATATCATCTGCAAAAACACCATTTTGTTTTCTTTTGCATTTCAGTCTTTACGCCTTTTATTTATTTTTCTTGTCTTATTGCATTGGCCAGAAACGCCAATAAAAAAAATGTTGAATACATATGGTAATAATGGATATATCTATCCTGTATCTGTCTTTCTGACATTTCACCATTAGGTGCTATTAGTTTTAGATTAACATCTTTTATCAAGATGAATTCCCTTCTATTCTTAGTTTATTAAAAGTTTTTACTACTGGGGCGCCTGGGTGGCTCAGTCGTTGGGCGTCTGCCTTCGGCTCGGGTCGTGATCCCGGGGTCCTGGGATCGAGTCCCGCATCGGGCTCCCTCCTCGGCGGGAGGCCTGCTCTCCCTCTCCCACTCCCGCTGCTTGTGTTCCTACTCTAGCTGTCTCTCTCTCTGTCAAATAAATAAAATCTTTAAAAAAAAAAAAAAAAGTTTTTACTATTAACAGATATTATCTTCTCAATTAGTTTTTTTGCATCTATTGAAAAATTTAAATTTTTTCTTAATCTATTAGTATGGTAAGTTACATTAATAGACTTCCTAATATCAAATCATATAAGCAGTTACAGGATAAAACCCATTTAGTCCAATTTAAGGAAAATCATTACTGGATTTCATTTACTAATATTTTATTTATGATTTTTGTGTCCATATTCATAAATGAGACAACCAATTTTCCTTCTCCTAATGTTCTAACATGGGATTCATATTAGGGTAATAATAACCTGACAAAACAAGTGAAGAAGTGTCCCTTTGTTTTTTTTTTCTACTCTCTAAACAATTTGTGGGGCACCTGGGTGGCTCGGTTGTTAAGCGTCTGCCTTTGGCTCAGGTCATGGTCCCAGGGTCCTGGGATCGAGACCCACATCGGGTTCCTTGCTCGGTGGGTGGCCTGCTTCTCCCTCTCCCTCTCCCACTCCCCCTGCTTGTGTTCCCTCTCCTGCTGTGTCTCTCTCTGTCAAATAAATAAATAAAAAAAAAAAACGATTTGTACACAAAGGGAATTATCTGCTCTTTGAGGGCTAGATAGAAATTGTAAAGCCATCTGCACCCAATTGTAGTGGATAGACTTTTTGAACTAGTATTCAATTTCATTAATGCTAATAATCTATTTACATTTTCTATTTCTTCCTGAGTCAGTTTTTTTTTTTTTTTTAAAGATTTTATTTATTTATTCATGAGAGACAGAGAGAGAGACAGAGGCAGAGGGAGAAGCAGGCTCCCCGCGGAGCAGGGAGCCCGATGCGGGACTTGATCCCAAGACCCTGGGATCATGACCTGAGCTGAAGGCAGACGCTTAACCGACTGAGCCACCCAGGCGTCCCTTCCTGAGTCAGTTTTGATAAGACATATTTTTCTTGGAAATTTTCTTTTGGTCTAAGTTTTCAAATTTATGCATTGTCCATAATATTCTGTTTCTTTATGTAAAAAGAAAAGGGATGGATTTGCTCCTGATTTGTCTTTTTCTTATTCTATGGCCCTTGAGGTCAAAGGCAAAAGGATAAATGATCTTCTTAATCGTACAAGTTTAAGTTTAATTTAATTAAGCACCTACTTTAATTAAGCACCTACTTCATTATGAATACTTTACATATATTCCTCACAATTAACTTTGCAGAGCAGGTACTATTATTATCCTCACTTTACAGAGAAGGAAACTAGCCCAGAGAGGTGAAAGAACTTGCCCAAGGATACACAGAAAGCAAAGGACAGATCCAGAATTTAAGACCAAGCCTGAGTGACTGCAAACAGCAGCTTTTCCTACCATTCTTCCTCTCCTATGCCTGAAGGGAACTGAGGCTTTCCTGCCTACAGGGGAAGGTCCATGATCATGGGTTCATGAACATCATTATTAAGGCAATGGAAGGGATGTAAGCAGATCCATGTCACCAGGGCCAGCCTGTTCAGTGTCCCTGAAAGGCCCTACTACATAAAAAATAAAGGCACAGTAACAATCCTTTAAGGAAACACTAAAACGTTACTATATCAAAATGGTGAATAGATTACGTAAAGGTAGAATACTTCAATATTCAGGAAAACCCAAGACACTATTTATTAAAAGTAGACTAAAAATTCCTCAAAGGCAGTGAATGACTCTACCCTCTTCCTCGCGGGCTACCTAACCTTAGAATGGAGCCAGGCATGTGGCAGGAACTTAAATGAGCATTAAAATGACCAGAGGAAAGGATGCCTGGGTGGCTTAGTTGGTTAAGTGTCTGACTCTTGATTTTGGCTCAGGTCATGATCTCAGGGTCATGAGATCAAGCCCCACATGTGGCTCTGCACTCAGCACAAAATCTGCTTGAGATTCTCTCTCTGCCCCTCCCCCCTGCTCACATGCTCTTTCTCTCTCTCTGAAATAAATACATCCTAAAAAAAAAAAAAAAAGACCAGAAAGAAACACATCAAAATATTAAGCAATGTGTCTTTAGGACATGGAACTATGAGCCACTTTTTTCTTTTTTCCATACTCCTTTAGTTTCCAAAGTTTCTATATTACATTACTTTTTATCACTGGGAGGAAAGTGGGTTCATTTTAGGAAAAATATTAGGAAGGCATTTCCAATATTGATTTCTTTTTTTCCATGAAGACCTCATTCTTCCGACTGGGGTCTTCAGAAGAGTAACTAAGGATGGGGGGTAAGGGGCTGGTGGACTCCCTAAGGGGACCGGGGTGGTGCCAGAACAAAGCTGCAGGACTTGCCTGCCTGAACATCTCCGGGAAGTCGTAGACGTAGGTGGTGCCTAGGGACTGGGCCTGGAATCGCTTGGCCTGAAGCAGATCCTTGGTGACATAGGGAGTGTTGATCAGCATCCCGTGCTGGGGTCCCTGCTTGTTGCCAAAGGAGTGAAACATGATCTGGAAAGAAAGACAGAAAAAAAGAGTGAAGGAGGGAACTTTCAAAGAAGCGTAGTCTTGTCCCATTTAATCCTACTCTCCTCAATGAAAATGTGGTGGAAGGAAGCAAAGCATGTCACATCACATGACAAAGTAAGTGCCCCGGAGAGCTCATCTTCTTTTCTCTGCCACTGTGGGCAACCAGAACAAGAAGGGACAGTGGCAGGTATGGGAGCACAGCTCCAAAAATGTGACTATCATAGTACTTTACACACACATACACACACACACAACCAAAATGAGTGCATAAAAACTGGTTGGATCTGAATTAAGTCCCCATTTGAGTTAATAGTACTGTACCAATGTCAATTTCCTGTTTTGACAAGGTCCCGTGGTTATGTTGTTATCACTGGAGGAAGTTGGGTGAAGGGTACATGGGAACTCTCTGCAGTATCTTTTTTTCCCTCTGTACTATTTTTCTAACTTCCTGAGAGTCTTTAATCATTTAAAGAGTTATATATTTAAAAATGGAAGTCAACGGGATATTTGATTTAGTTGACAAACATCTGTTCTAAAACATGTTTGGGGAGAATACACCCATTTCCCTAAGTGAACCAACCTGGGAGTTGCATTATAATCAACCACAATATTCCACATCTTTTCCCAAATACGGTCCTAAAATAGATTAAATTTGAGATTGATTCTCCTTCCCAGAGGAATGAACAACTGGGATTCAGAAGCTAACATGTTTATTGTAAACTCAGAGGAGCTACCCCAATCCAGTATGGCAAGGCATGACAGCCACCAAATAGCATTTTAGTCTGTGTCTTGCTCTCGGGAGCAGATTTACTCTGCCTCCGCTTTGACTTGGATCTCTGTGGCATCCCCCCGCCGGCCTCCCCACAGCCACCCAGTCTTACATTTCCAGATCTGGAGTCAGTGACTTCTTTGTAGAGGCTGATGTCCAAGTAGTAGCCCGACTCATTGGTGATGAACAGGCGGATGGGAACAGCACAGCCGGCAGTGGTCTGGCGGATGTTGATCTTGACCTCAGCCTGCAGCACGCGGAGTTTCCACAGCCTGCTGCCATAGCGCATGACCATGGAACGCACGGACTCCTCGATCTGCCCCAAATCACAGCAATTCCAATCTCAGGGCCCATTCCGTGCACACTTGTAATAAATAGTTCTAGCACCGATAATAAAGGAACGATGACATACACTGAACACAAAATACCTGGGACACAGTATGTATCCAACAACTATTTAGCCAATAATAACCATAGTTGCCATGCTAAGCATGTCACGAGCATTATCTCGTTTCATCCTCATAATTACTCAGAGAGGCTGGCATTTTTATACCCCAGTGACAGATGAGGAAACGGAGGCTGGTAAGCAACAGAGCTAGTGTGCCTACATTACATCATCTTTATCTCCACCACGTAGCTCAAACGTTTGCATTTTCTCTTCTGGGAACACATGGGTTGGTGGAGTTGGGCATCAGCACAGGCCCTCTGCACCCCACGGAGGCCAAGATGATGACCCAGGACTTCTTTCATCCCAGGATCACCAGCATCAACTCTGCCTGCTCATGAAGAACCAGCCATGGGAGAATGGTTCTCTTTCCCCTTCCCTCCCACACCCGGTCCCCCAAAAGAGCCGGGAACCAGGGATGAAATTTTGTTTTACAAGACACTTTGGGCATGCGTGTTGTCCTAAAAGGGAAGCATGCTGCCCACGGAGGGTGACCATCAGAACAGGGACGATCCTAAGGGTGGTGGCAAAATTATGGCCCTGGAATTAAATGACAGAAGGTTGTCCACCCACAGCAACTGAGGCTCAAACACGCACATGCATGTCCTGGAACTTAGAGGTCTGGAGTGCAAGGAGACAAGACCCCAAAGCAGCAAGGCACGTGAAGTGTCATAGGCCCCTGCAAAAGCTGAACCCAGAGCGTCCCCAGAGGCGAGACCTTGAAGGGGTCCATGATGACGGTGGGCACGAAGTTCAGGAAGATGTGGTTGCAGTCTGTGCGCACGCTTGTGTTGTTGAACGCCACCTCCAGCTCATCCATGGCCTCCAGGAGCAGACGTTCACCCTCGTTCTGCAGGTACTCAAAAGAGGCTTCCTGCCGATGTCAGCAGGGGACAGATGCTAAAGCAAGGGGCCCAGGGCTGGAAACGGAGCCTCAGACAGAAAGGAGAGAGGAAAGCATCTCCCCTCCTCCAGAAAGTGTGCCAGATGAGAAGGGCAGAGCCCTGCCTCCAAGGCTACCCAGCGTATTTGCCAAGTTCTGTATTTTCTGCATTGTGATGCTCTGACAACTGGGGCCTTCCTGAGCCTGGAGGGGCTGCCCCTCCCAGGGTGGCCAATCCCTAGAGATGGTAAACAGCTCCGTCCTGAGCATGCTTTTTCAAAGGCAAACCAGCCAATCCAGAGCATACACCGCCTCTTTGGGGTTCTCAGGTCCCAGGTCACTATCCACCTGCCCTACTCACCCCAGGCCCAGGTACCAGGCACCTAGAGACAGCCCCTTGGCTCCAGAACCTACTGAAAGTATTCAGACTAGCCAACCCCAAGCCTGCCTACCCTGCCTCACTGGTTGTTCTTTCCTGCAGAAACCACAACAAAGACTCTTAACCACGTTTCCCTCTCCTCCCCTGCCTCCCGACCAACCCTGGTGCTTCCCCACGTGGCTCCCTGCCATATGGTGTGCCCCCTCCTCTTGGGATCTGAGAGTGACAATCTTTTCCGTGGCAACCGTTTCTTGATCTGTTAGGAAGTACAGGTCTGACTATACCTGAAAATAATAAACCCATTAAAATAGCTAGTTGACTGAGGTAGCAAAAAAATGACATTAGCTTCACATCCATCAGTAGAGGATTAGGAAAAAAAAGAAAAAAATTACACACACGGTACATCCAGGCAAGGAGAGAGCATGAAGTTGATCATCTCCATTACCGTGGGAGAGGAGGTCTACAAGAACTGACCAGTAGGAGTGCCTGGGGGGCTCAGTCGGTTAAGCTGCTTCGGCTCAGGTCATGATCTCAGGGTCCCAGGATCAAGCCCCCGTCAGGCTCCCTGCTCAGCACGAAGCCTGCTTCTCCCTCTGCCTCTGTCCCCTGCCCCCTACTTGTGCTCTCTCTCTCAAATCAACAAATAAAATCTTAAAAAAAAAAAAAAAAAAGAATCCACTATGGGGCACCTGGGTGGCTCAGTTGGTTAAGCATCTGCCTTCAGCTCGGGTCATGGTCCTGGAGTCCTGGGATCAGCTCCGCATTGGGCTCTCTGCTCAGTGGGGAGTCTGCTTCTCCCTCTCCCTCTGCCCCTCCCCTCTGCTCATGCTCTCTCTTTCTCCCAAATAAATAAATAACATCTTTAAAGAAAAAGTCGTTTTCAATATTGTTTGAAAAGTTCACAATAAAATCATAGATAACTTGAGGCGCCTGGGTGGCTCAGTCATTAAGCGTCTGCCTTCGGCTCAGGTCATGATCCCAGGGTCCTGGGATGGAGCCCCACATGGGCTCCTTGCTCAGCAGGAAGCCTGCTTCTCCCTCTCCCACTCCCCCTGCTTATGTTCCCTCTCTCGTTGTCTCTCTCTCTGTCAATAAATAAAATCT